AGAGTTTTATTTTATAAGGTCATTTATTATAAATTATTAAAATGTCTTTATATTTAACATGGTATGTAAAACATATACACACATCCTTTTAAAAAGTGATATTTAATACTGTCTTTACTTATTTTTTTACTTTGCTTTAAAATAGCTTAATGCTGAAGGAATGGGTTAAACCTCAGATGCAAAAAAACCTCAATTGCACTATTTCACCAGCACTGTAGAGACACCAGTGAGTTGTCATTAAGTACTTTTTACTTCTCCTGATTTATTAAAAAATATAGAAGTACACTTAAATCATATCTAATTTCAGGATGAGCCAACCAGCAAGTGTTGTTACTATGGGTGGAGTTTCTTTCAGTCGCTGACCTGTGTGTGTGTGGAGTGAAAGGTGAAGCCACAGAGTCCAGACCACACTTCTCACGCTGTTTTCCGTGTCTAGCTGGATGTAGCCTCCAACTCTTATCTCAACAGTGTGAAGCTGGTTTTCTGCAGCTGGACTGATGGTCAGTCCTTGTCCCTGGCCGGGCAGCGGTCCCCTCCCCATCCCTGTGTCGCTGCCACCTGCCAACATCAGAGTGTGGAGCATCGCCTCCCTGTTCACTTGTCTGCTGACACTGCCTCAAACTACGGGAACCCCTGATGTGAGGAGGCTGTGAGAGACTCTCTGGACCCACTTTCACAGGCCTCAGAGTTGGGGAGTCGTGAGAATCTGAAACTGTCACCTGCAAGGCTCACCCCTGCCACCTGTTAGTAAAGAGAAGGTATGTCCCCTGCAGTTGGTGGCTCCTGGGATTGTGTCACCTCTGAGAGGTCTGGCAGGCCCTTGGGAATCAGTGTCCACAGTTCATCCTGGATGGCTGTCCTGATTCTTATCTGAGGTGGTCGTCCCCACCCCGTGTACCCGCTCTGAGGGCTCCATATCCCCATCACTCATCCGTTCTCCAGAATGCTAAGCCTGGCCATGTTCCCCCAAAATGGGCCGAGGCCTGTGAGCTCTGTGGACCACCATGTCTGCCTCCATCCTGATGACAAGGATGGAGATGCCCAGAAGGCTTCTGATGCTGTGCGCCCATCAACCCACCAGCCTGGCTCAGGGCCATCTCCTTAGACACTCCAGTCAAGGACTGTGGCAACACTCCTTGACAACCAATGCCTGGAGTGAGTGGCTTTCTCCAGCCCCAGAATGCCGGTCCCACAACTGTGCCTTCTTCCCATACTGCTGTGCTCGCAGGGAGCCCGGCGTACCTGTCCCTCTCTGCACACTCAGGGCCCACGGGGAAGTGTGCTGCCCTGAGCAAGGCCCACGGGGTGCCAGGCAGCTCACACAACTCCTCAGAAATGGTGCAGAGACGGATGGACCTGCTGAACTTGGATGTATTGATTTGTGTGCATTTTGTAATGTGGATGAATGGGTGGACAGAAGAGGGCAGTGGTAGATGGGAGAAGATGAAGCAGCATCCAGTTTGCCTTGATAACCCCTGTAGAGCTGTGGTTCCCCTGCAGAGACAGCAGGCTCCACTTTCTTCATGTGTGTGATGCAGATGACAGTGGAAATGGCGTGATGAGTAAGTGGTTGGGTGTGTGTGAAGGGCTGGGAATGGCACCTGGCTAGTAAATTGTTGTTGCTTTTGTTGTTACTGTGATGTGGGGTTCGTAATAAAAAGTACCCTAGCTTATATATCTACTTTACCAACGTACTTACTGGGAAACTTTGAAACAGTGATTAGATCCTGAGCCTCATGTGCAAATTGAAAATAATAACAAGGAAATGCATAATTTCTTCCACAAGAACTGTCCCCTGTTTTAATTGTTCTGCCTTCCCCTGGCTAGATGGGATGGCTGAAGATGAGGAGACAGGCTTTGGTGCATCAGGCAGAGCCCAGGAGGACATCTGAATGGGCACAGATACTTAGTTAAACCAGGTTTGAATAAGAACTTAATGCAAATCAGACTAAGCATAATATATACACTTTTAGAACTATATATCCAATTTATATCCTATTTCCATAAAACAGGCTGTCAAGCCCTGGCCAGAGTGGCTCTGTTGGTTGGAGTGTCTTCCTGAGAACCTAAAGGTCACCCGTTCAATTGCTGGTCAGAGCACATACGTAGGTTGCAGGTTTGATACCTGGTCAGGGCACATACACCAGGTAACCAATGCATGTTTCTCTCTGACATCAATGTTTCTCTCCCCCGCTCTCTCCCTCCCTTCCTCTCTCTCTAAAATCAATAAGCGTGTCCTTGGGGAGGGGAAAAACAGGCTGTCAATCTCAACTTTGCCAAAACACATATTTATTTTGGCCTTCTGATAGGGAAGTTAAAAAAAATAAAGATAAATTGTAAAATCAAAAAGGGGAATGTTCTAGGTCCTCCCTGAGTGCCAGGATCTAATTTCAGCCTTGCACAAGAAGCAGATCGGTTAGTGAGCTTATTTGCTTCAAGACTGTGGACGTACATAATGCTGTCCAAGTCAGATGGCCACAGATGTGTTCACCATCCACTTCGACTGCAAGTCATCTGCTCACATGCTCTGCCTCTTGTTAGCAATAAGAGTGATGTACTTAGAAAGTAGGCAAATGTGATTTTCAGGAAAAGTTTTAAGGAAACGGGACCGTCCAGGTCAGCATATGAAGTGTCCAAAGCAGCTCCCTCACGGAGGCTGTGCACAGCGTCGCCTCCGCGGATGGTCTGACCGAAAGAGGCTGCTACCTCAGAGACATTTCACACTGGGGCCTGCGTTTCTCAGGCCCGGGGCCTCTCCTCTCGCCTTCCTTACGACAGCCTCACTTGTCTCCGGGTTTGCTGTTCTCTTTGTTGCGTGATTATGACAACAGTCTCCGGAATCGCCAGTCACATTGTGATTATGTAACCTTTCAACCACGTTCCTTGGGCTCTGGAGGAGCCTGTCATGTACAGGCAGAGAGCTGAAGCTCACCCCTAAATGAATGCTGTGTGCCGTTAATTTGCAATAGACAGAAAATGTGCTAGGATGAGAGCCAGTTCCCTTCCCGGTTTTCAAAGTGAAAGCTTTCCTGAGCCAAACACTAGAGAGAAGTCGAAACACCGCAGGGTGTTCAGTCTCAGTTATTGTTCTAGATTTCCCTTAGTTTACATGACATTTTTATTAGCAGACACTTTAATGGCTCGATAGTGTTTATTTCTATTTTATCATTAATAGTGTAACTCAATTTTATATTATTGAGAGATTTACTTATTTATCCTGATCTGAATCTTAGTATGTATTCATGTTGGGACTCTTAATTCTAAGTCAAGCAAATGCATTCTGGGTAACTGTTAACTTTTATAATAAAATTCATATAACAAATTCTCATTGAGCTACTACTATGTGCAAGACACTCAGTAGGTTACTGTGAGGTAAGCACTCGCCTTGTGAAATACTAGGTTCTGGAAGGAATCCAGAATGAAAGGTGAACGCCAGGCTCACTGGCATGGCCCGCATGGCGGAAAACATCTGTGTGCAGGAGAGAGACGGGGGCAGGAGTGATTCCGTCTTCCCCTGGAGGTGCTGGACGACCGCCCTACCCCCACCTGCAGCAGGAGTGGAGTGTGCACACACCGAGTTTTCTCCAGTGGTGCCGACATTTCTTCCTGTGGGGATGCCCGTTTCTGAACAAGGCAAGGCAGTTATTGGGGAGAGTCGGACCACTGGAATTCAGGCGGCGACTGCTCACCATACACTCTCAGCCTTGGTTTCCCCGTGCTGCAGCCCCTTCTTTTCTAGGGCATGCTCTGCAGACTGGGGCACTGGGGAGAGAAGTGGGCTGACCACGCTTGCCTGGGCCAGCTGCTGAAAGTTGGAGAGGGCCCCTGATCCAGCGGCCCGGCGCTGCCAGCAGCAGCAGCAGGAGAGAGGGAGACTGAGGCAGGAGAATGGCTGATGTGCTGCAGGACGGACAATGCTTCTCACATTGGGGGAGGACCAAGAACTTTTCTTCCTGTCCATTTGTCCCAATCCTTTGAAGACTGATACTTCAACAAAAGGCAACACAAAACACAAATGCCTGTTATTTAATGATTAAGTAAACATTTATCCAGGCACTTGGCTTGTCACAGACCTTCATCTCAGATGCTGCACTGAGCTCCTCTCGTCCTTGCTGAGAAGGTCCCTCCACAAGCACCTGTGGAGCTCTCTCTTGTCACCCCACAGCCCCTTGTGTCCTTGTCACTTGGCTTCACCTTCCCTGCCCTGGGGACCGCGAGGTTCTCCTTTAAACATGCGACACTGCCTCCTCAGGCTCTATCCCCAGGCTCTCCCGCGGCACTGCCTCCAGCCTCGGGCCTCTGTGCTTGGGGACATCCTGCACAAGGACACACATCCCTCCTTCTCCCCTTGGGCACTTGCTGTGTCCTTTCCTTTTTTCACGTGGACCTGCGGAAGGAGACAGTATCCTCAGAGATGCTTTCTGGCCTAAACACCAGGCACCCCGCACTTTGAGAACGTGAATGGCAGTATCTAAAACAGGAGCAGGTTGCCTTTAAGGTTCGGTTCTGTTTCTAAATGCGGATGGGGCTAGTCACTAGACAGCGGTGGTGTCTGCATCTCCTGTGGTGTCTGGGAGAAGGCTGCACACTGGGTGGGCCCAGGCGTTGTCCCCAGGAATTCCCTTGGAACTCACTTGCCACACACGGAAACACCAACTCTGACATGTAACATCAAGGGATGGGCAACATCTTTTGTTTTCTCCTCTTCTTGCTCCATGGTCCATCATTGCGACGGAAGCTTCGGTGGGCATGAGGAGTGAAACTATCAAAAAGCCACTCATAGGAAGTCAACAGGTGCACTTCTTTTGCCTTAACTCTCTGACCACCTGTGTGCTCATTGGTTCCATGAGGTGGTTGGGTACCATGGCCTTGGAGGTCACTTTCAATAGAAAATTCTGTGATGTTCCTACATTTCCTGAAATCATCTTGTGTAACCTGTGGGCTTGCCCTTTTCCAGGGTCCTAGCTATACGTTAACCCCATTTTCCTATTTTCTTCTAGCACCTGTGTTCTGATTAGAGGCCCAATGAATGATATTCAGAACTTCTGCTGAGGTACTATAAGGTAAGATCTTCTTCGAGTTAAATTCTTAGCTTTAAAATGGGGGGTTATGGCTTGATTTGAGAGAACAGATTAATAAGGAATAGGAATTTTTAAGTTGGCATTCTTCAATACTATTTGTAATTGTTGCTGTGTGGATCTTAATATAAACATACAGTCATGCTCAATTTTTTGTCTTAATAAAGATTTTTGTTTGCTTATTTGCTCATCACATTCAAAATTGCAAAGAAGCCATATTTGTGGAAATATGAAAATGGTTGATTTTATTTCAAATACTAATTTTTATCCTAACTGTAGTGATATGGGAGTTTTTGAAGTACAGTTTATCTGTGGGCTACTCATGTTTTGGTCAATGGTTGACAGATCAGCATACAGTGCTTCTCACATTGGGGGGTCCCATAGGTTATAGTGGAGCTGAATTTTCTGTCAGAAATGGAAGGACATGTGAACCGGGAAGACTTTTTTCCCCCTGATGGGAGCAATGTCTGTGGGGCTTGGTGACAAAGTCCCTCTCGGTCCCAGGCCCTCAGTCCTGAGTCACAGGTGATGCCCCAGGCGGTCACCATGGACCCGTGTCACACGGAGGAGCCCGTCCCCCAGTGCTGATGCACCCTCCCAGACCTGCCGGCGGTCCTCTGGGAGCAGTGCTATGTGACTTCGCTGAGGACCCCAGGCCCAGTGAAGGGTCCACAGGAGCAACCTCAGCGAAGGTCAGGTGCTGCTGCCACTTGAGTGAGGGCTGTCTGTGGTGGTGTGGAGCCTCCTGCCCCTCGACTGTGTAAAGCACAGATTAGTTTTATTTCTTCCATCAGTTCAATGCCAGGGAGAATGCTTTGTGCCAGCTAGGCCCAAAAACAAATTTCCCAAATCAGCATATCAAGCCCTCAGTTCTACACACTCTTTGTGTTAACATACCCTCTTTTGCCATGAATAACACAAAGTTCCTTCATCTGACCTTTGCTCCAACAAGCCGTAGTCAAACCACATGGATACAACCTTCACCTATGACCCTTTATCTCTTCACCTGGATTTCCTTTTTCTACTGACCCTCGGGCCACCTTGGCTTCCCTCCCTGCAGAGAACGGTCACGTGACCTGTGTCTCACCCAGCCGATGTCTCCCCGGACCTGGCACTCCCACCACCCTGCACATGGAGCAGGGCTGGCAGCTTCAGTGCTCTGTCTGCCGCGGCAGAGGCAGCAGGGGTAGGGCTCTGGGACTGCGTTCCCAGCATCAGTGATTGTGGACCGTCATGCCCTGGGCTTCATAGCACTCCCCACACACTCACTGACTCACTCAGAGCAACTTCCAGGCCACAGGCCCCATTCGTGGTGAGTGTCCTGTAATCCAGGAGAACCACTTTTATTGTACCTTGCATTCCCCTTTTCTATAGTCCCTTTTCTATGTTTAGATATGTTTGCGCACACAAATGCTTACCGCAGTGTCACAGTTGCCTATGGCAGTCCGTGCAGTTAACGGCTGCACAGGCTGGAGTCCCAGGAGGGACAGGCTATGTGTGGTCCAGGTGTGCAGTTGGCTGCACCACCCCGGAGTGTGGAAGTGCCTCTGTGATGGTCACACAGTGACAGAATTGCCCACTGCATGTCACTCAGAATCTATCCCGCTGTTAATAGTGCGTGACTGTACTGCAAAATGGTTGGATTTTTAGCGTATGCAGGACCTCATAGCTTGTCTAATTCATAGAAACTCAAACATTATTCCTTGATTTAAACTGCATTGGTCAGAATGCTATAGAAAATCTGATTGTGGATATAAAAAAGAACAACACAGTGACAAAGTTCAGGCTGTTTTAATGTCCTCATTAATGGTCCTTTCTCTATCCAGCCATCCTTTCTCTATTCAGCAGACAGTATCTGTCCTCCCCTTCTTCCTTCCTGAAACAATCCAGATGTGCTGAGGGATGGCAGAGTGCCTACTTTAAAACCCGTTGCCCTCCCTGCCTCCTCGCCCAGCTGTGGCAAGCGAGCTGCAACCACTGGCCCTGGGAGAGCAGAGCCTCCAGAGGACACTATTTTTGGAAAACTGTTCTTTGTTATTACCTCATCTTTCCATCTGGCAAGCTCTTTTAAAGTTTGTAGCTACAAGGTTTTAATTTACGAATGTGATCAAGTGATGGCACAGGGGTAATGCAATCGAAAGAAGAATTTGTTGGTTACTATTTCTGAGATGGGGGCACAGTATGCCGTCCAGGGCCACCCAGGGGAAGCACCCAGTGTGGGCATAGGCAGAGGTCAGGAATGAAGAAAAAGCCCAGGTCAGAGTCTTCCCTGGGAGTTTCTGCAGGAAGTGCAAGGGAGGCTGGGAAAGCAGCCTAGGACCACCCATTAGAATCGTGTCAGTGGGCTCTGGGCTCCAAGGGGCACTCTGGTTGCCGGGCCCCTGCCCTGGGTGAGTTAGGGCAGGCAAGTATTGACTCAGTGTGTGTGAGTTAGATAAGAAAGTGGTTGTGACTATTGACTCAAGCTCACATGTGAAAGATGTCACTAAGCCAGGGCCTTTGTAGTCTCTTAAGAATTGGCTAGCTCTGGGAGGGGCAGTCTCCCCCTGGCCAGCAGTCTTTGAAGATGTCAAAGCATCATAAAACACAGACAGTAAAATGCATGATTAATACAAAGCACAGCCCCCAGCTGGTAATCGCAAAGACAGAAGCCACAGTTAGGGAACTGGAGCAGAAAGGTGACAGGAGCTCGTGTCCTCAATGGCATTCTCATGTTCAGGGAGCCACCCATTAGATTTTCTGTGACGTCAGTCCGATAACCCCTTCCTTGTGGGTCTCGGCAGGCACAGAGCCGAGAGTGCATAGCTGACTCGCCAGCACTCACGACGTGTCGTGCTGACCCACACCCTGTGGCCGATGAAACCTGCGCACACTGCCGCCAGGCAAAGCGCCACCCAGATAGTGGGACTGGTGCTTTGAGATGCTAAGAACTTTGTCCTATGAGCCAAGTGCCAGAGGTGGACTTTGAACGTGGCTCCACTGGGCGCGGTCCCTGAGGTCTGCTCCCTCAGTGCCTGCTGCTGCTGAGGACGATTGACAGGAGTTGGTGGCACTGTCAGTTCACTAAGCCCTCAGCGCCCTTCAGTGACGCTGTGGCCATCACCATCCATTTACAAAGCTGAGCGAACGTTAGTCCGTGTTGTTAAAAAGGAAGAGAAATCCTTGGTTTGGAGAAATCGGGACAAATTGGAATTGTCTATGAAAGCAGGTGAAGGACATATTAATTTCAAGTTTCTTCTTTTGCTTTTTGTTCTTTGGAAACAATAGTTCAGAACTAATGGACAAAGAATGGCCTCCAAAACTCAGCTTTAACCTGCAGTCTTAATATTACATATTCTCCTTCTAACAATCTCCATTACTTAACTCATACTTATTATGTTCAGAAAAATACAGGTAAAAGATAAATTAGTAATAAAATTCCCCTCCAGAGAAAGTCATGCAAGATATTTACTAGGTTCTAAGCTGAGTCAGAGAGGAAGGTGCTGGGAAATGGGAAATTCTGTGGCCTGGAAAATTCCAGAGGGGAAATGCAGGTGACAGCCAGCTCTCTGAGCACTTAAAGGAGCTTTTCACCTCTCTGGACTTTTGTTCTTCATTTTTAAATTGAGGGTGTAGATATTCTTTATTTTTTTCCTTAATCCTCACCCAAGGACATGGTCATTGATTTTAGAGTGAAGGGAAGGGAGGGAGAGAAACATTGATTGGTTGCCTGTCGACCTGGACCCAACCCTCAACCCAGGCATGTGCCCTGACCAGGAATCAAGCCCATGACCTTCCAGTTTACAGGACAATGCTCCGACCCACTGAACTACACCGCCTAGGGCGAGGGTGTAGATCCTAAATTAACAATTAACCCGCTGGGTCTCCTCTGCTAATGCAGGGAAAAGCTCTGTCTCCTGAAGCAAATGTCCTCTTTTTGGCCCTTGAACCCACACATCACTGTTATGCCCCCTTGCTTACTGTCAAATATACCCTGAATCTCTTTACCTCTTTCTGCCTCTTCTGTCCTGACCATCATTCTGTCTTGCTTGGACAACTGCATGGGCTCCCTGGGGGTCCTGGCTTCCATTGCTGCCATGCCATGCCCATCTGGGGATGCACATCTGACCGTGTCACTGACCCATCTGAGACCTGCTCCCACCAGGCCTCCTTCCTTGGCAGTGTGAGCAGAGCCCAGGAACCCAGGCATGCAACCGTGACTGACAGGGCCTACCACATGGCTTCTGCCTGGACTTTCTCTGGCACTCCATCCCTCGGGTCCCTGCCTTTCTCTCTGTTCCATGACTGTTCTCTCGTGTCTGTTCCCCGGGCCTGGCATTGCTGCCCCTGGCCCTTCCTTCCCAGCTCAGTGGCCACAGCCTTTGGTAGCATGCTTTCAAAATGAGCGCTAGCCCAGGCACCCAAGTGTAATTCCTTTTAAAAACAAGCATTTTTAAGGCATATTAAAATACCCCTATGGAAAAAATACTTATATATACAGGAGTGGGCAAAAGTACGTTCACAGTTGTGAGTACACAAAACCGTTTATCCTTGTATTATTATTTATTAATTATTGTATTATTTTTCCATGCGAACAGCTGTAAGCCTACTTTTGCCCACTGCTTATGGCTTAAGGGATTTAGGCAGGACGTGAAGAATTTGGCCACATTTGTTTCTAGTTTGTTTCTCCCACGCTACAGTATGATGTAAATTCCCGAGGGCAGGCCCTTTTCTCGTTCATCCCCGTAGACTCCGCGGAGCCTGTGAGGACAGCTGTCCCCTGCGGGTTGGTGGCTCGTGTTCACTGAATGAGCGAATGCAGGGGAAGAAAATGCCAAATATCCCCACAGAAATTAAGCCATAGTTATAGGTGTTCCCAGCATGCCTATTGCTTAGACTGAATGAAGGGCGAGAAATAGAGGAAAAGAGATAAACAAAATTTTGGGAAGAGGGGCAGACAGTGGTGCCCACAGCAACAGCGGTGAGTCCTGGGGGTCCCCGCCGCT